TGTATTGCACCAGTAGCGTGGTTAGAAAGTGTGACAGTTCTTCATCTTCAGAGATGAAGTTGAAAAGAACCTATTCCAGAGGCTACTGTAATTCTTTTTGAAGGAAGGGAAAAAATGCCGTCTCTGGAAGAAAAAATACATATATTTCTTTTGCAAAAATTCTTGAATTATCTCTTCTTATCTTCTTCTCTGTGTTTTGGGTGGGGGAGGGTTTGTTGGGTGATAGTTGGTTGATTGGGGGCTGGTTGGTTTTTTGGTTGGTTGGTTTCTTTTAGCTTGGTTTTTAATTTTTGTTTTATGTTTTCTTGGCTTATGATTTTGCTTCAGGTTTTTTGTTGTTTTGGTGGGATTTTTTAAATTTGGTTGGCTGGTTTGGGGGTGGTTTTCTTCATTTGTCTTTTGGGGTTATTTTTTCCTGGAAGTCATAGGGGTTAAAATCACAATTATGTTAAAATTTGATATGTCTTTTTATGTTCTGTGGTAGGACCTCATGAAGGTTTGGTTATTAAAGATGCTTACAAGGACAATTATTGTTTTAAATAAATGCATGTATTAGAAATCAGCTATTTAAGAGGGAAAAAAGTCAACCAAACAAAAAACAGAAGAAAAATCCCACTATTCCATTTTAGAAAGTTCAAGAAGGTGATATTTTCAAAAAAAGGAATTTCACATTATTCATATGTCCTTTAATTTTTATCTTTTTTAAATCCACTATTTTAAATTTTAATCCAATTTCATTGTATGGTAAACAAAAGGCAAAAATCCCTATGAATTTTCCAAAACCTAGCATCTCAACAGCTGAAAGACTATGGATGGTGCCTCCACTGTGTGGAAAATCCATCAGGAAAGAGATAGTCGATGCAGTAGATCTGACAGCACAAGTGACCCGGACAGCTGAGTGTGAATGCAGTTTTCTTTGGCACATGAAAACATATGCTGAGGACTTGTAACAATTGTTGGATGGAGGGAAGAGAAGTTAGCAGGTAAAAGATCAAAAGTTGAATCCAGGCTTACTGGTTCTGCTTATTGCTCTGGTCTCCAGAAGTTGGTGCTTTATTGTGATTCTCTGTTACACAGCCTGCCTTTGAACAGATATGATGGCAGAAGTATTTAATGGTAGCAATAAGAAAATGTCTGTATACTTGTAAATAGTGTTATATTTGAAGCATACAGATATCACTGATGTGTGTTCTTGTACCTGTAACTCCCCCTTTCCAATAACAATCTTAGCTCTTCAACATATTCCTTGTAATGACTGTCATGGAGCAAAGGAATCCAAACATATACAGACTGGCCAAGGATTTGGAATTTTCCAAAGTGTGAGGTACCACTGAGAAAACTATTATCCACTGAGAAACATAAATATCTGAACTTTGTCAGTGTTCTGAGAAAAGCTCAGGTTTACCCAGAAACAACAGATTGATTCAGATCCATTTCCAGTGCTTTAGGCACTGACTATCCATGGTTCAGCTAAAGTAATTTATTCTTCACAAAACCATCTTTATTCTTCTCCTGAAGACTAACAGCATAAGACTTGGTTCCCATCCTTGATTCTGCAGATATGGCACACACAAAAAGAAGCACTAAACAAAACCTGAATTCTCTGATTTGTGCGACAGTTGAGGCAGTGGAAAAATAAATAACAAAAAAAAAAAAAAAAAAAAAAAAAAAAAAAAAAAAAAAAAAAAAAAAAAAAAAAAAAAAAAAAAAAAAAAAAAAAAAAAAAAAAAAATCAGACAAAACAAGGAAGAAAAAGGCTCCTCATATCAGAGAGTCATAGAATGGCCTGTGTTGGAAGGGACCTTATCTAGTCCAACAGCCCTTATTTTGGGGGCAGGGACATCTTTCCTTACATGAGATCACTCAAAGCCCCATCCAACCTGGCCTTGTTCCTTTCCAGGGATGGGGCATCCACAGCTTCTGTGGGCAACCTGCTCCAATGCCTCACCACCCCCTGGGTAAAGAATTTCTAATAGCTAGTCTAGGACTACCCTTGTTCAGTTTGAAGCTATTGCCCCTTGTTGTTGACCTTGTCCCACAACTACATATCCTCTCCAGCTCTCTATAAGCCCCCTTTGGTCCTAGAAGGCTGCTAGAAGGTATCCTCCACATGGACTGAGAATATTCCACAAAGTCCCAAATGTATTTGACTCCTGTTTCAGCATGTGCAATATTGTTCACCTTCACAGAACCAAGCTATAGTCACCTCTGTGTTTTTCTGCAGCAATAGCATTGCATGGGGCTTAGTTGATTTCCCACACTTGATTTCTCCAAGAAAAAATATCACAGGACTAGGATTATAAAGATGAGGATATGAGTACTCCTTTTGTAGATCTTGGAGGTGTGCATAGCTAAACCAAAGAAACTCATTGAGCTAAACCAAAACAAGATAACAGTGAATGAAAGAAAGAACAAACATCTTTAGCCCTTTCAAACAAAATAATTCCCAGTGTAATTTTACATATCTGAATACTTCCAGTTGAGTGACTAAAGAATGATTTTGATTAATTTGAATTTTGGCTATTATTTAAGAGCACATAATACATCAAGGAAATATGGCAGAATGAGGGAAAACCTGGCATGAAAAAGCTGGCAGTGTAGTAGTGGAAACAGATGGTGTACAAGCAAAAACTCTATTATGATTACGAGAAAGTATTGTTAATAGGGCTACATTTCTAAAGAAAGAGTTCTGCCAAAACCAGCACAAAACAGAATACTTATTAAAAATGTGATCGAAGCCATCAAAATTTAGATTAGAAATCATCTCTCAGCTGAGTTGTGAGCACTGCGAATGTGTTTGCTTCTACACCATTACAATATGAATTAAAATACTAAACACAAACTACTATTTCAGGTGCTTAAGAAATCAGAATGAAAAGTACAGAGCAAAAATGATGAAAAGCAAGGGAAGGAAATAATGGAAACATCACAGCTAGATGTCACTTGCTGGTATATATATATATATATTCCACCTAACTTTACTTACTGTGTCCTGCATAAGACACATACACAAATTGCTTCTATAGATACAAGAAACAGATGTTTATCCCCTGAGGTAGACAAAGTCCCTCCTAAAACCAGCTGACTGAGATACAGCTGTGTTTAAGCTGAAGTTCTCAAGTCCCCTCTGAAAGTCACTGAATGCCCTGATTTAATCTTCAGAAGTGATTAAGTGACCTGATGGCACAAATTCAACTTCAAGGGACTGCTGAACACCCACTAAAGATACTCATTTCCAGGCATGCACGGGAACTTAGTTATTTCTGAAGATCTTGGCCTCTCTTTTTAAAAGCTGACTACAGGATGATAAAATTCAATAGTACAAACCCTTCTCCCTGATATGGAAACTCTTGATACTAGGCAAAACTCTGCTCACTGCATATTTCTTCAGCAGGGCTGCTGTCATGAAACAGGGTACATACCACAATTATTACAGTTAAAAATTCTTGACCTTGTTAAAAATTAAGAAAACGATTATATTTAGCAGTTGTCCCTGGCTCAGGGTAATCATTACACAGCAACAATTGAAATATCTGTGTTATCAACGTTATTCTCCTGCTAAATCCAAAACAAAGAACAGTACCACCTACTAAGAAGAAAATTCCTCCATCTCAGCCCAAACCAGGACACTCTCATGGTTTCTCCAGTGTTTGCACTGACAGCTGTTCACAAGCCCAGGCTTGGGTTCAGGCAGCTTGGTGTTTACCTCTTCACACCAGAACGAGCTGGGTTTTCCTATAGAGCTGCACAGGGCACGTATTATAAGCAGTCATGTAATAGTTGGCTTTCACTACAATTTATTTGTGTTAATTACAAAATTGTAATTGTTTTTAATTAATTATTGTAAGTGTTAAACTGCTTTTTAAGTATGATAAAATTTGTAATTCTTTGAGGGCAGTGTAAAAGGGGAAGTAAGGCTTTCACAAGATGTAAGCAAGCTGGAGAAAGATGTATGTGAAGATATGCTTCCTATTACAGAATGTATATCCAAAATGTCATAAGTGGAGAGCAGAAGACCATAAAAGGAACAGCACCAAGTTTAAAGTGTGGTCAAAAGACCGTCAGAAGACCACCCTAGACTTCCAACACCTGCAACTATTGAATGCTGCAAACGCTGCAAAAATCTGAAGCAAGATTGTCATCACAAGCCAATATAAATCTGCAAAATCATCCAAGGAAGTAACACAATTGTTACAGTATAAAAGATTGCAGAATAAAGAAGTGAGTGTGCCTCTGGCCTTGCCATGCATCCAGACCTGTAACTTTTGGTTTATGATCATCCCTTATTATCACTTATTAAAACTCTTAAAAATTTAAAAGGAGTGGGTTTCCTTTCTCACAGGAAGTGAGAATATTTCTGCTCTGAGGCTCTGAAAGATTATGCCAATTGAGGTGCTGCTTTGTGTGTGGTCTGGAGGTCCAAAACTGTCCTGACAAATATTGCAGGCTCAAAACAATTGGTTTGTAGCAAAGCTGTGCAGTAATTCAGACCATATTTAATAGAAAGGACATCTAAATCTGGATGATAGAGTTGTCACACTGTGCAAAAAAAAGGCATTTTTGATAGAAGTACAATTGTAACAAGCTCACAGATACAGGTCTAGTTATGAGCACCATGTTTACATAAAAGTGCAATTAATTTTTTTCCTCTTTTTGACAAATTGTATCTCACTGATTGGCTAGTTACTCTCTTGGGCCCCATTCTTTGCACTAGAAAGTCCACACCACAAAATATTCGAAACCAAAGCAAAGAAACCCTGACACAGCTCTTTAAAAACTCTCATTCCTCTTTGAAACCATCACATTTTTGTTATGCCTGACTGGCAGGAGGCATACTGGATCTGGATGCACAGGTGTGTTCAATCTTGCTTCTCCCAGCTTAGTGATATCAGCTTTGGCCATATCAAGTCACAGAGCAAGCACAAGAGTTCTGACAACATCCACTGCTCATAAGAAATAGCAGTGATACCCCTCCACAGCTACATGTTAATGTGACAAACCATCCACAGCTGCTTGGAAAGAGCCAAGGTGTTCCTGTTTTCATCATCCTGTAGCTCATAGTTCTTTCCAGTGGTTCATTGGCCAGCAAGGTTATTTCCAATGTCACTCTGTAGCTCTGCAGTGCAGCTTAGCTAAAGTTCTCAAAACTGAAGTGTGAAATGACAGGAACATTTATTACAGGTTTCCACTACTGCACAAGAGCTCTCACTTTTTGCAGCTTGAAATAAACCCAAGTCACAGCACAGAAGCAAGTACAACCACAGTGGGTTTGAGCAGGAAAAGCCTTTTCAGGGGGGTGGGTGAAGGACTGGTGGGGGGTAGGACGTGGTTCTGTCACCAGAAAAAGTACTACTACTTAAATTTTCCACTTATAGTCAGGTCCTCCATGACACCCTAAGAAAGGAAAAGAAGAACTGACCACTGAATGACAATATATAAACCCAGAGAAAGGAGGCTGACAGTAGACGCTTTCTGCTCTGCCTTGACACAGAAGCCACAGCGATGAAGCTCCACATCACAGCAATCCTGCTCCTCTTCTGGTTTGGTGTCTTCACTGGGCACACAGTCAGAGGTAAGTTTGCAACCTGAGAGGAAGACAAGAATTGTTCCACATTGCACCTGTGGTCTCATGGGCAAAATTTATTGTTGCAGACAGCTGATTTATAAGATAAAACACACAAGACATCCAGATGAAAACTGCAAGAATGGCAGCTTCATGGGGGATTTCATCTGATGTCCAGCCAAATGGTGCTTGATTTCTGCTTTAATGCAAGGGGAGCTTCTGTGCCTGAGAGTGCTTAAAGGGTTTCTGTGCAATGGTCTCCATCTTAAAATCAAAATATCTTGAAGGCACAATGTGCTTTAGTCTCACTGATTCCATAAACCTATGTGTACTATAGATTAATAACATTTCATGGCAAAAAATCTTTCTTGGATAAGATGTAAATTGGGGTTTTTTTCCAGATAGATTACTTTTATATTAATTTTATTGTAGTAATTGTTATATGACTTCCTGTAACTATATAGTCTTATTTTTTCTAATATCTACATTTTAAGAAGTTCCTCATTGTTTAGAAGTTCCATATTGTTTATTCACTTGTTTCTAGATAAACCTTTTAGTACAGGCAGGGAAAATATGAACAATAACTAAAAAGGGGAGTAATAGATTTATAGCTTCTCTTGTTTCACTAAGTCATACAATTGAACATCTTTTTCTAAACCAGTTATGAACACTGAGATGAGCCATGTTTATTAGACATGCTTTAAATAAATTTGTCTACAGAGCTGGCTAGGTCAGTGACTTTTCGATTAGGCTCCATGGATCGTGGAGAAACATCCTATTACAAACATCATCTCATCACAAGTAAATTTCACACAAACCACTGATATGCAAACCATATGCAAACCCACAAATATACACCCAGAAACACAAAGAAAAGGTATGTTCACAAAACCATATCAAAACCAAACTGAGACCTGCTAAGCATTCACAGGACTATGAAGCTACACAGCCTTCACGCTGACCCACTGCCTCTCCAGCTACATCCTGCATCCCACTGCATCCCACTACATCCTCCTATTTTCATTGCTGACACTGCTCTTCATCCTGGCAACAGTGATTTCATATCACAGACAATGTCATTGTCCAGGCTGTATAATAGGCCATAAGTATCACCAAGTTTGAAAAAAAGCACACCAAGATTGTCTACAAGAGAGATAAAAAAGAACAAGAAGTAATGATTAAAAAACCAAATACACCTGGGAAAAATGGACAGTTATAGGTACAGAGCAGTTGGGGTTTGTTCCTCGTCTTGAGAAGCTTTGCTGCTATTCCCTGCTTCCATTCCCTGAAGGTTTTGTAGCACCAGAAGAAATATTTCCGGGACGCATAACAATTGCTTGGCTGTCTTTGAGCTCTTTTAATGCCACATTTTGAAAACCAGTCTGAGGCAGGAAGAAATGTGCCATAAAACGTACAAAAAACTACATTGTATTACTCATGACTAAAGCAAAATCAGGAGAGAGATTCCTCCAGGCAAACAAGATCTCAGGAATTAGCAGATCTGCCAGTAACTATGCAATGGCTATCCCACACCTTCTCCAAAGACTGATGTGTCTGTGTTTGTCTCAGCTATTCCAGTTATTTCTGTAGTGAGACTCTCTGCAGCAGGTTTTACATTTACCAAGGTGCATCAGAAGAGCTCTTGGACTTTTCTCAAGCCAGTACCTCTCCAAATTCTTTATAAATAAACCACAGAGTAGAACAGTGTTCTTTTTGTTCCCTGCATGATTTCCCAAGCCTGTCTGCCATGAGCAGGAAAAAAACAGAAACTGGCAAGTGGAGACTAGCACTAATGTATACTCCATTGTATTTGGATGAGCTCCCATTTTTAGTTAACACCATGTAAGATAACAAGTGCCTAGAAAATTTTATACCAATATTGTGATTCTCTTTTTTAATCATGACTGTGTTTCTCTGAATTGTATCAAAATCTTGGAGGAATGCAATGCAAGGGTTAAGTAGCAAAGCACTGCCTATGAAATCGGAGTTATAGCCAGAGGATATAAGCACTTATTCTTCTGGCAGCTATATCCCCCTTTTTGTCAACAATTTTTGTTACTAATAGTCTTGAATGTGAGAGAAGTAGGCTCTCTTTCTTCTTCTTCACTTGGAAAATAGGAGGTATTACTGATCCATATTCAAAATACATGTGTTAAGCTGCCTAATAAAGTGTCTGTTCTAAATGTTACCTCCATATGGGTACTTATTTCCAGATGATGTAGCCTAATTACAAATTATGTCAAATGCTTCTATGGAAGAAGTGACACCCTAGGGATAGATAACACTTTAGAGATGGTACAATGCATCACAAAACATAGCTTAGGCTCTCTGGTATAAGTGGTATTGTGGCTGTACATCATGAGACTCTCATGGTCCAACCAGCGCTAGGAAACTTTTGGAATTTGTGGTTTATTAAGCAATTATGGCTAAATATCAATAAAAGCATTATTCCCTCTGTCATTTATCTATTTTTCCCTTCTAGGGAGTTCTAGCAGTGAGTCCATGCGCAAATTCAAGTGTGTAAATCTCTCTACAAGGCAGTTAAACATTCGAAATCTTGTGAACTATGAAAAGCAACAAGTACCAACAGATGCCATCATGTAAGTATCTCATGCACCCTTTCAGACTTCCTTATGGAAACACAAAACAAAAAAAATAGGGAAGGGCAGCAGAACACAATTCATGGCCCAGCTCACTACATTCTGGGTAGTTGAGGTCACCCTTCCAGTTCTTCCATGCCACATGGCAGCTGAGGGAGTGAGGAGAGAGGAGCAGGCCCCAGAGAGCTGGGAGATGTGTGCTGCTCATAAATAATGGCAGGAAGCTCACTGACCAGCTCACATCTTTGTGCCCTGTGAGTGGGAAAAATCTCAACAAGGGTGGAGGAGTCAGAGGCCCTGTGCATTAACTGAGTCAAGGGGAAAGAACATGTGGAAGAATATGGGGTAACCCTGAGTCCTGCTAGGAGCTGTGTTTGTTCCTTTGAGCTCACATGCATGCATTTTTATCTCATCTGGGATCTGCTCCTGGGAGATAAAAGTTCATCATGATTGAACATAAAATCCCAGAATAGCAGGTATGCTTCATGTTTTTAATATCAGTTTATATGTACATGACCATGTATGTTACCTATATCATAAACAGGTAAATAATGTTTCCAACTGCTGTTGTTCTAACTAACACCTACAAACTCCAGCATTTGATATTGTTTTACCACATTTTTGTTCATGTTCTGCATCAAAACCAAGAACAGACCTGGGTTTGGAGATTGTAATGTAATGTCCAGCTGGTTTTCTTTCCTTTTTGCTATAGGTTTCTTACTGCAGGAGGTATCAAGATCTGTGTAAGACCTAATCAGGAATGGGTGCAGGCTGCTATGAAGCGAATAGATGAAAGACGTACTGCCAAACCAAATAATCCAAGCTTCTAAGGAAAGCCAGCTGGAATCATCATCAGTGCTGCAAGTAACAAGGAAGAAAAGCTTACTATCTTCTTTTATTTCCTATTTATTAAGTGGCAATAAAATCTTGGAACAAACACAAACTCACCAGAATCTATTGAACACTGATTCAACACTGTGTTGAATGCCTGCAGATTTTGGTTGAACTCTATTAGTCTGTATATATTCTGAAATGCTTCTAATATTTATTTACAACTGAACGTAGATATCATCTCATCCTTGCTGTCTTGACCAGGGTGGTATTTAATGGTGAATGACTGATAGTTTCACACAGTGTAGTGAGGATGACCATGCACAGAGCTGGAAGAGTGCAGACCTCCATGCTGATGGAGACCAGAGCATTCCACATTGAGTGCTGGTTTTAAGCATGTGCTGTCTAAGATAGTCAGTCACACCTACATAAACTATACAAACTGATTTCATACTTCAGGATATCCACCTGATCAGTGCCATATTCAGAAGATGGTCCTTGAGTCTTCTATTTCTACACACAGTATTGCACTATTAGCTCAGTTCACAAAGGTTTGTTAATATTCTCACCAAGTGTGTTAATATTCTCACCAAGAGATGATGTAGAGTAACTCAGTGAATGTAATCCTGCTCAGTCTTGCCCTGGGGAAGCCTTATCTTATCAATTACATCTGTGAAATTACTTCAGTTTTGCCCTCATGGGAAACAAACATGAAACAACTGGTTTGCTTTTCCCACTGCTTTTCTCTGAATAAGAACAAACCATGACTGGAATCTGTATTTCACAAACTCATAGAAACTCCCTGCCAAAGAGAACTATGTACATAGAAACATCTTATTATCTTAAAATTGATACATACTACTAACAAAAGACTTTGAATTTTAATAAACTTCCTATATAACTGAATCAAAGGGCATGTTTTTTGCAGGATTATAATGCAAATGGATACTGCAGAAGCAGGTCCCAAGATGACAGCATAAATCTGAGAACTAATGGGTTAGCTGGGCCAGAGCTAACACTATTGCTAAGTCATTACTCAGATGGCTTTGGAATGATCTGATTCCAAGCTTTCTACATCATATTTCAGCTCATATTTCAGACCATACCTCTTCAAAAGTTCACATACTTCAAAAACAGAGTTCATATCATACTTGGATGGTCCCCCACATTACTAGAAGCAGAAATGGAAGAGCTCTCTGCTCAGAGAGAGAAAAGATAGCATTTGAGGACTTTCAGGGGTCAAGAAGAGGTAAAAGCAGAGGTGCTTCTGGAAAAAAAGTTCTTTTCATATTACCACATGTATGCAGGCTTGCACCACTGCTAACCTATGGGCTTTCCATCCTGCAAAACCTCTTAGTGATACTCATGGAACTGCAGCACTTCCAAACTGCACCATGAAAATAATTTCACATTACTCTAAAGGACAGTTTTTACAGTTCCCTGCTCTGATCAAGACTTTAGACAGAATTTGTCTCCCATGGTTCATGTTTTGTCAGAGCTCAGTCTTGTGTGGGGAAACAGATGTAGTTTTCACTATCCAGGACAGGTTTTTAATAGTGCTATTGCTGAGGCAGGAAAAAGAAGGATGACTGTATGTGTTACACTACAGAACAGACCAAGGCAGGCTACTAAGTCTCTGTTATAGTGAGTTATGCTTCCTTACTGAAATTCTCAATATCAACAAAACTAGAGTAAAACAGTTGTTGCTACTTTGCAAGGAGATCTTTACAGGTAGGAAGAAATGTTGACAATCAGATGTTACTGCAGTATGGCATTATATAAACTGTATTCAGTAATTTTGAATTGTTGATCTCAAGGCCCCAGATCCTCATATTATAGACAACAGAAACACTTCTGTTCCCTTCAGCATCACCAGAGTATTTGTAGGCTACAAACCTGGTCCCCTATAAAAGCATTATTATGTAAACACTTGCAGATAAATACCAGCAACTCTAACAGATCAAATTCATCCAGGACCCAAACTATCTAGCATGCTTTTTGCATGCAGAATTTTAATGCCTATGCTCATACTTAATAGTATAATATCCTGAAATGAATCTTGTTAAAGTTGAATATATTTTTTTTTAATTAGGTCTCTCACAATATGAGGTTAATATGAGGACATATTAATCTTCACTTAGCAATTAATACTTTATATCTGTTCATCCTCATCAAAATTCATAGAATGATTAATAATTTTTAAGAGTGAATCATCCTACTTAACAATTACTCCTTGTTTGTTATACCTTGCAAGGGATCCTTGTAGAGTCCTTGACAGTTAATTACTACTGGGGATCAGGGCTCTCCTTATCTCTTCCTACTCCAACATTTAACTCCAGGAACTTCTCTGTCTTTCCCTGACTGTTCCTTACCCCAGCCCTTGCTGTGGTCCCAGTTGTGTGCTATTTTTGTCAACTCTACTGTGGATAATGTGGAAGTTTTTCTGTAATAGCACTGTTTCTCCCTAGCACTTTCCCCTAAGGCTCTTAAAAGAAAGAATGGAAAATGTGATTTAACCTCCTTTTCATACACAAGCACAAAAGGAAAGTGCAAAATGAAGACCCAGAGTGTTGCTCTTGTCTTGGAGACTAGTAGGAACCATAGTCTTGGTCTTTCCAATATCCATAGGAAACACCTACAAAACAGCAAAATACACAAAACCCATAAAGACCCACAGGGTCTAAGGTACATTTGAAGATTTGGGGCTGTGGTTGAGTTGATGTTCTCCCAGGTCCTGGCTGCCCAACATTTCTTCTCCAGGTGAGGTATAGAGCAGGGAACTCATGGTCACTGTTTCCCTTCTTGCTCAACCTTTGTTAGATGGCAGCTGATTTTCTTTGACACCTTTTGTAATACACATGCACCACTTTGCCGCAAAGGACACTCCAGATACACATAGGCAGACCAGCATGCATCAATATTTGAAACAAATCAACTATGTCTTTCCTGTCCCACACCACTTAAGTTTCCACAGAGACTTAAGAGATGCACTCTGTTTTGATCTTTGACACAGGGGAAAGGCAGCAGAGAGCAGAGTGGACAAACCCTCAGCCTGTGTAAGTATTCTCACCTTTCCTCACTTTAGCAGAGGCAGACAGGGCAATTACCCATGCCTTTGGGCATGCTGGCTTTTTTGCACTAAAGCAGCAATTTTTCCTAGGCAATGACTTTACATAGCTGCTGCCGTATTTTTTTTCAAAACTTATTTATAATTAAAGAACAGGAAAGTTAAAGGTTTACAATGACCATCAGCTTTCCTGGAAACTGTTAATGCATCATTCAACTCCTAGACCCCAGTTAGGGATATTCCTTGATTTTTGGAGTTTCTTGGTTTTGTTTAACTCGGATTTTTACATAACTTCTGACTACCTTTTGTATTTTGCTTTATGGTGGAGGTTTTCATCAGCAGATAAACTATTTTAACAAATTGCTCGAGACCTTTCATGGGAAGAAGAAAATGGAGGAGGACTGGGTACCTCTGTACATCAGCAATGCTATTCCACCAAATATTGGTGCATAATACAAAAAGTAAGATGGGTTAATTTAGCAAGCACAAATATTTTCTTCTCTCCTTCCTGTGGAAAAAAATGCAGTGTATGCATTTTGGAAAGCTAAAGCTTATATTCTAAATTGCAAATTAATTGATTACTTAACCCAAACTGTTGGGATTTGCTACAGAAGATGCTAATTCAAATTCTATGGCAAGTGAGTACAGGAAAAGGTGAGGGGAAAGAAGGTAAAAATAGAAAAGGGGTGACAAGGAGTCATTTCAGCAGAAAGTGGTATGAAGTATCTGCCACTAAATCCTTAATAAATCATAGTCTTTTAGCAGCTCCCTTGCTCCCTTGAGTTTTCATCTCTGCACTGCATATGAGCTAAATCTCTCAATCTTAGGAAAAGAAGTTTAAAAGAAGTGCCATAAACCTGGAAGCCTTCACTCTTCTACTAGCAAAGATGTGGGTATGAACAAACTGGAAATACCTGAAATGACTAATCTGCAGATGCTTGTCAGTGTAATTCAGAACACAAATTCTAGCAGGGCATGATTTGTAGGGCACTATAATGCTCTCTCTAGAATGTTCTGTGGCCAGCACCAGCACTATTGCATGTCCCAAGGAACATGCAATTCCAAGGTAATTCCTGCAGTAGCACCTGGCCTGTTCCAAGGGCACCTCTGACTGCTCTTACTGCCTGTAATGGCCCTTTCTCATGTTGAGGGCTATTTCTGTTTGTCTTTTGCCACCTCTTGCTATCTATCCACCTACAACTTTTAGTTTGATTACAGGATCTTAGAAGAAGGAAAGAGACTTACCAAGACAACTCCTATCAGACACTGCACAGAAGATTTAAAAAGTATTCTACTGTTATGTCATGGTTTACTTTCCCTTCCATTTACAGTTGTATGAAACAGTAAATAACTATTCCAAGCCAAGTATGGGATTGCAATTTAAATGAAACTTTTAACTTTGTGAGGCTCACTTGAGATATTTGCATAGCATGTTCTGGTTCAAGGCCTGCATATAGCCTCTACTCTTAGATCTCTTAAAGAAACAACAGAAAAATGGGAGTGTACAGCATGCACCTTCCTGGAAAAGTTTTGGTTTTCCTTCCCACCTGTGTGGGAAAACAGGACAAAAGAGTCTAGACCAAATTATTACATGTTTGCTATGCAAAGGAAGTGGCACAAGAAAAAGGACTCCAAAAATATAAGCTCATGTCCTGCTCTCTTAATGATTTATTGTGCATTTTTGTCATTTGATTTGGACTGAGTATTATGTATTATATGGAATATTTCTTGCATTATATCCTTAAAAACTCAAGGAATAATAACTCAAAAGCTATTTAGAAACTGTAACACTTGAAACAAATCAGATAATCTGTTGTTCCCTCTGTGTTTCTGAGCCTCTGGTTCCACTCTGGGGCTACAGTTTTCTCAAGAACCATTATTGTTATAAGACAAAGCACTAAGACTTGGAGTCTCTCTGAGAGATTAGTGTTGAAAAGAGGATGGTAAGAGTGCACAAGAACATCAATTCACACAAGTGGACACATGTTCAAGACAAAGTTTTTATAGGTATCTCACTGGGGAAAATACCTACTTGGTTCCCACCCTCTGC